GGACCTCGGGATGATGGTCACCAATAGTTAGATACACGGAGTGACATGGCTGGGTATCGCAAACAGTGGCGCTCATGCATCCACTCTTTATTCCCCTAACATTATTCTATATGAATTCTCCGTCTTCCGCTTGAATTTGCTCTCAAAATTCCAGTTTTCGTTTGCTCTTTTATCCAAATGGGGCACCGAAAGATAGCAAGGAAAACCAGGGCACGAAAGTGAATGGTTAATGGTTGTTAAAACTGATCTGAACTGAACATGGATTGTTAAAGCAATCATTGAAGTTTTATTCAGAGCGTTGGTTCTGCGTGCTCCCAGGTGGCAAGTTGTTTGGTCTAGAATATACAGACTATGTTGTACTATTGAGTGAAAGCTCATCTGGATGGTTTGGTTGGTATTGTAGGTATGTTCGGCCTGTGTTTTGCGGCTCCGAATTGTAAAATGCTTTTCAGTGTTGATTTGATGCAGCTTTCACTTCATCTCTAACGGTGAATTTAATGGATAAACTTAATGATTTTTGCTTCTTAGACAGGACAATCTCACTTGGTGAGCGAATCGTGATTTAAGTGTTGGTACGCATACTTAAAGTACATTTGGCGTTCATGCCTTTGGAAATTTAATGATGCCCTCGAGACGCCCGATTATCTGAGTAGGGGCGAAAATATGCGGCAGTGGTGCGGACGAAGGGATATATCATACAAACACTTTCGTTTTGGGTACAGGATAACAGATTATCAGTTTCCGAACACCTCTTTCCACATCGCATTTCCCGAGTTTGGTGGGACAGCCAGACAAGCAGTACCTAGGTTTAATAGAGTTTTACATAATCTTAGTGGCACACTAAAACAAGTGCTTGAGCTCCCATATATAAACATGGCTGGGGCCTGTGTTACGCATGTTACCGGACAAGCTTCTCAGGCGTGCTTTGTTCGCCGAATTAGTTGAGGGTTAAAGGGAACTCAGTGTTTTTTACTATAACATCTGGCTTGCTTCTCTGTAAACCCTAACTCGGGGACTTAGACGTAGGGTTTGTGGTGGGTTTCTGGATTGTGGACCTTGGGATCAGCCATATGAATGGTCGGAAATATTGAAATTACTGTGGCAGCGACGCTCATGCATACGTAGCTCATTAGCATCTTACGGCGAAGTACCGCCAGTTGAACTTCACGGATCGCTGCCAAGCTCATAATGCATGCAAGGTCAGTGAGAATATGTAAGGAAGATAGGAGTTGGGCCTAGTTTTAGGGAAGGGTGTGTGAAAGTAAGTGTACCTCATTAGTCAGAGTATACAGTCCAACTGTGCATACATACTATTTCAAGCATTCCGGTCTGACAGGAAGTGGCAGCAAGATCGCCATTGCCGTCGGTTCGCAGACATGACCTTCAGTGTCTCCAAACATGTAGTTACAGAGTCTTTTGGACCCCAAACCGGAAGACAAGAGACACCTGCTCTACCTA